TTTTCAATCTGAAGTAAATCTCTTGTAGACAGGAGCTTGTTTTCTTCTCCATTCAGCCACTTCATGTATTTTGATTGGAGCATTTCACTTTTACATTTAAAGTAATTATTGATAGGTATACAGTTATTGCCATTTTATTATTCATATTTCCTCCTCTGCCACCTTCATCTCTTCTTCTTCTTCTTCTTCTTCTTCTTCTTCTTCTTCTTCTTCTTCTTCTTCTTCTTCTTCTTCTTCTTCTTCTTCTCCTTTTCCTCCTCCTCCTCCTCCTTCTCCCCCTCCTCCTCCTTCTTCTCCTCCTCCTTCTCCACCCCTCCTCCTTCTTTTTCTCCTCCTCCTCCCCCTCCTCCTTCTTCTCATCCTCCTCCTCCACCTTCTTCTCCTCTTCCCCATCCTCCTCTTCTCATTCTCTTTTCTATCTTCTCCTTCTTCAAATATACCTTTAACATTCCTTATAATACTGGTTTTGTGATGCAATGGACACAAAACTCTGGGGAGGGAGTGGCTGTGTGGGAGGGAGGGGGGCAAAAAAATCAATAAAATATGTAAAAATAAATAAATAAAAAATAACGTTCTTGGCCACTTTAAGTAAAAAAAAAAAAATACTGGTTTTGTGATGATGTAGTCCTTCAACTTTTGTTTATCTGGGAACTTCTTTTTTATTTATTTTATTTTAAAAAATATATATTTTATTGATTTTTTTATAGAGAGGAAGGGAGAGGGATAGAGAATCAGAAATATCGATGGGAGAGAAACACCGATCAGCTGCCTCCTGCACACTCCCTACAGGGTATGTGCCCACAACCAAGGTACATGCCCCTGACGGGAATTGAACCTGGGACCCTTGAGTTCGCAGGCCAATGCTCTATACACTGAGCCAAACCAGTCAGGGCTATCTGGGAACTTCTTATCTCTCTCCTTAGAATATAAATAATAACCTTGCTGGTTAGGTCCTTACTTTTCATCACTTTAAATATTTTGTACCAATCCTTCTGTCCTGCAAAGTTTCTGTTGAGAAATCAGCTGACATTCTTATGGGAATTCCCATGTAGGTAATTAACAGCTTTCTCTTGCTGCTTTTAAGATTCTCTCTTTGTCTTTAGCCTTTGCCATTTTAATTATGATGTCTCTTTGGGTTCATCTTGTTTGGGACTTGGCACTTCCTGGACTTGTATATCTATTTTCTTCATCAGATAGGCAAGTTTTCCATCATTATTTCTTCAAATAGGTCTTTAATTCCTTGTTCTTTCTCTTATTTTTCTGGTACTCTATGATGCAAATGTTGGTATGCTTGATGTTGTCCCTTAAATTATCATTTTTTGGGATTCTTTTTGCTGTTTCCACTGGGTGTTTTCTGCTACCTTCTCTTCCAAATTGCAGATTTTTATCTAATATAAACTGTTTTATCTAATACTGTTTTATCTAATTTATTGTTGGTGATTCCCTCTAATGTAGTCATCATTTCAGCTATTCTTAATTTCTGACTGGTTCTTTCTTATGTTTTCTATCTCTCTTTTTCTTTTTTAATATTTTTATTGATTTTAGAGAGTAAGGGAGAGGAAGAAAGTGATAGAAATATCAATGATGAGAGAGAATCATTGATAAGCTTCCTTCTGCATGTCCTGTACTGGGGATCAAGCCCACATCCCCGGCATGTGCCCTTGACCAGAATCAAACCAGGGACCTTTCAGTGTACAGGCTGACAATCTATCCAAACTGAGCCAAACCAGCTAAGGCATTCTATCTCTTTTTTGTTTCTTATCTTCTTATCACTGAATTCATTAAGCAACCTTATAACCAATGTTTTGAACTCTGCATCTAATAGATTGCTTGTCTCCATTTTATTTAGTTCTTTTTATGGAGTTTTGTCCTGTTCTTTTATTTGGAACATATTTGTCTTCTCATTTTGGCTACCTCCCTGTTTTTATTTCTATGTATTATGTAGAGCTGCTATATCTTCCAGTCTTGGTAGAATGTCCTTATGTAGTGGGGCCCAGTGGCACAGTCTCCCTGGTCACCTGAGCAGTGTGCTCCAGGTATGTCCCTTGTGTGGGTTATGTGTGCCCTTCTGTGTAGTTGAGTCTTGATTGCTGTTAGTATGTCAGTGGGAAGGACTGATAGCATTACAGCTGTTGTGCAATGGCTGACCTTACAGAGCTGGATTTGCTCTAGTAGGGCTCTAATGCCTGGCAAGTCTGCCCTTTGGATATGTCATTTGTGGGAGTGGTTGGGTGGTGCTCTGGGGTGGTCTGAAGCTGGATACTGCATATGTTGGTTTTGGGGCATCTTGGGGAGGCTCTGGTACAAGCTAAGGTCAGCAGCTGCCTTTGCTTTGCCTGGGCTATGTGGTATGAACTTCAAAGTAATTTGCAAATGGTTGCTATTTGTGCTGAACTTGGAGACATATAGGAGAAGCTGTGCCATGAACTGAGGCTTGGGACTACTTAGAAAGAGGTATAGGACATGCTGAAGCCAGATGCTACTAGGTTGAGGTTTGTGAACTTTTGAGAGATTTTAGGAAACTCTGCAGCATGAGCCAAGATGGGCAATTTGTATAAAAAAGCCACTGGAAATGGTGTGGGTGGGCCCTAGTTGTGTGGGAGTGGGGTTCTCAGGGAATCACCAGAACTGGGAGAACAGTGTTAACCAGGTTGATGAAGACTCAGATATGGTGTCTGCAGGGGGAGAGCTCAGAAAAGTAACAGTGAACTCTACAGCACTTCTGGAAGAAAGCTGCCCCTCCAGCCTTTGCCCTGAAGCTGGATAATTCAGTTCTCCGTATGTCCCTTGTGCTTTATATATATATATATATATATATATAGATAGATAGATAGATAGATAGATAGTATTTATTTCAGAGAGGAAGAAAAGCGAGATTGAAACATTAATGATGAGAATCACTAATTGGCTGCCTCCTGCACACCCTCACTGGCTGGGGATTGAGCCCGCAACTTGGGCATGTGCCCTGATTTGGAATCAATGTTCAACCACTGAACCATGCTGGCTGGGCTCCCTTGAGCTTTTTTTTTTTTTTTTTTTTTTTTTTTAGCTGCTGCTCCAGTGTTGGAGCTCAGAGTGAGTAAGTCCATCTGCAAGTAAATCAAGCAGACCCTTTAAGAGGAATGCCTGGGATTCTAGGAGCTCTCTATCTCATTTAGCTGGAATTCCTTTTAGTTTTCACAAACTTCTCTTCCTGGCATTGTAACCCTGGGCTGGGGAACCTGGTGTGGTTATCCCTCCAGATTTTTAACTGCCACACATGGGTGTGGGACTACCTCATTCTGCATCTCCACTCCTCCTACCACTCAAGTGGCTTCTTTTGTATATCCTTAATTATAGGAGTTCTGGTCAGCTAGACTTCAGGGGTTTCTGTAGTTTTGTTGTAATTTTGATATTATGGGGGAAAGCAAGTACATTTACCTCCTCTTTCATTTTTGTTTTCTTAAAATATTTTCAGTGATAACCTACTAGTGTCCATGGATTCTGGTTGAAATCAGCCTGAATGGTCAAAATAGGATGTTATTTCATTACATTCTCCATAATTGAATCAATGCAATTAATTTTGTTGATAGATGAATTTGTACTGCTCACTATTATTTTACACTGCTTGACTATCCTTGACTTCCCTCCTAAGCCCCAGATCTGAGGTTCCTGCTGCTACCTGGATAGCCTTTTCTAGAAGCCTTTCAGACCCCCTTCACCCACCATGACCCCAAACTGGCCTCAGTGTCTCTCCAAAACCTGCTCTTTCTCCCTGGTCCTCATTTCAGGGACAGTTACTTTGTCCCTCAAATCTAGGACAGAGTCCTTGTCCTTTTCTTAAATTCTCCCTTGCTCCTATTTCTTATATGGGCCACTACCCTCACAGTGGGTTCACTAGGCCTCCTGAGCATCTCTCTTACCTGCCTCCCCCTCTCCTTTCTCAACCAGGCTTTGGTCCAACACCTTCTTCTTCTGCCCAGGTCCTTGGCCTACTGCCTCCTGGGATCTCTGCCTCCAGACTTGAGCCATTCCCCACAGGGAAACCAGGACATCTTTGTAATATCCTTCAGCTTCTCAGTTCTGAGTGCTCCTCTGATAATTTTCAAGCTCAATATCATGTCCTTAGTAGCCTTGCCTGCTCCTGAGCTATCTCATCATGGACAAGCTGGTCTTGCTGTATTCTCTGGTGTCCCTTCAGAGTGTATGTCCCCTGGGCCTCTACTCCTAGAGTCAGGGAGGAAATGAAAGTGATCAGAGGACTTCCAGAGTCACTTCACTTGCAGCCTCTGGGGAGGGGCTATGTACTTGAGTCCCCTGGAGAGACAGGGAGTGAAGTACAAAGGTGCATTTGCTTTTTGCCTTTCAGCTTCTTCCCTCACTTCTTGATAAGAACAACTGCCATTACACATACTCACAGACAAACATGAGATTAGGGTAAGATTGACTGCCCTCAGACACAGGGATGTGCTCTAATTGGTTTAAGCCACTCAAAGTCGAATCCCTCTGGCAGTGTGAGAGGTAAAGTGAGGATGACCTATATACTATAATTTCTGTTTGGACTATTTGAGTGAAATTTTTGCCATATATATATATATATATATATATATATATATATATATATATATTCCAAACCTCTCCAGAGTCCCATCCTTAAGCTAAACACCAGATAGCTGTTGACATCTGAAATATTTAACGACTGGTACTAAACCTGGGCACTAAACAATCAGAACAAACTTTAGGCCATAGCAATGGGCCTGGGTCATAGAGGACCCTGCTGGACTGTAGAGAGGTCATGGGCACCCTGGGGAGAGGCTGAGTTGGCAGGCACATAGAGAAGCTGCTATTTACCAGCTGGCACAGAAGGACTTCAGTATTTTAATGACCTATATGGCTATGTGGTCTGAAAGAGAAATGAAAATTTAAGCAAAACAGAGGGACAGGTTTGGGATGGTGACAGGTTGCATTTCAAAGATGGCCCAGGAAGGAAGGAATGAGAGTGGATGGAGCAGATAAGCAGCCTAGGTCAGTGACTTCTTCACAGCTTGCTCAGGTTCAGCCTTATTCACTGACACCTTGGAGCCGGCTTTGGAGCCAACACTAGCTGTCCTGTGGAAGCCTATAGAAGAGGAGCTGTAGGTATAGTAGGAATCTGATGTGATGATGTTGTTGATTTTCCAGCGGAGGGTGTTGCAAATCTTCAACATAAGGGGCAGCAAGAGGCAGCAGATGATGTAGAAGATCACCAGGCCAAAAAACACACTGGTTGACACCTGCACGCGCAAACACACAGGTATGGATGGGCAGCCTGGTGGGGCCCCGTCCAACTTGCAGGGCAGCTCCTGAGCAACCAGCCACTCACCATGAGGATGAAGAGGGCTCGTTTGGCATTGAGTGGAAGCCCGTGTAGATGCAGCAGAAAGATGAGCTGGTAGTCACAGTATGTGCTCTTGTCCACACCTCTGGTGGGGGAAGGGGTTAAGGGTTGGGGAGAAGTAAGGCACCCCACAGGAAGCCCCTGATCCCACCTGGGCCACATGCCTGGCTTACCTATTGCTCACCAACACCTTGAAGAAGAATTCGGGGGCAAAGATGCTATCGGGAATGGTATCATGGCATGGAGAGTTCTCCAGACACAGCCACCTGGGGGCACATGTTCAGGCATTTGTGCTACAAATCATGCATAGCACTTGCCCACTCAAAGTCGGCAAGTGCTATGATTTCTCGCTCTACCCCAAAAGCTTTAAGTGAGCACCAATTAGGTACAATATTATAACTTCATACCTAATTTGTTCCTTCATTCATTCACTCAATAAGGCTGGCTGAATGCTTAGGAAGTGATAGGCCATTTGTTTACTCACTCATTTCCTCCTGCCTTTCCATGTCCATCTGTTAATTACTCTATTACTATGCATTCATCTAGATCAGGAGTGGGGAATGTCCATCCCAAAGGCTGTATAAGGTCTGTGAAATCATTTGATCTGGCCCGGCCAAGGCATTAGGGGTGAGTTAAATTTTTGACCAAATGTAACAGTCTATTTTTTAAGTTGATAATTTTATATGGCCTGAGAATGATGTTATAAATATCCAAATGGCCCTTGGCAGAAAAAAGGTTCCCCATCCCTGATCTAGATTATGGATTGTACACCTTTTATGTACCAACTCCTCACTTATTCCTTACTACCTTCATCCCTTCATCCTAAAAATACAGCTTGACTCTACAGTTTGTGGGACCTTAGGAGCCTTGCTGTGGACAGGGACCTGAGATATCAAGGTGGGTGAGGCTTGCAGCAACTATTAGGTACAAAGTCACATCTTTATTCATTTACTTTTTCCTTTATTCATTTATCCAACAATCATAGGCTGAATGCTGATTAGGTGCAAGTTGGTTACTTTGTTCATCCACTCACTTCTGTCATTTGCTCATGGCATCATTTTCTTCCTTTCATTGAATAAAAAATAGTAATTGAGCCATAGCTGGTTTTGCTCAGCTGTTGAGCATCATCCCATGGATCAAAGGGTTTTGGGTTCCATTCCTGTCAAGAGCATGTACTTCGGTTGTAGGCTCTATCCCTGGCCCTGGTCTGGGCATGTGTGGGAGGCAACCAATCAATATGCCTCTTTCATATCAATGTCTTTCTCTCTGACTCTCCCTCTCCCTTCCACTCTCTTTAAAAATCAATGGAAAAAATATCCTTGAGTGAGGATTAACAACACACACACACACACACAAAAAGTAATTGAGCTCCTATATACTAACTTCCTCCTCCACTGTTTAATGCATCAAGACCTCTACTCAAATGTCAATAATGCCTACCATAAGTTAATTAACCTTTTTCATTGTCTCATTCCACAGATATTATGCTGAGTTTATTTGAATTTGGGCCTATGTAGGAGGCAGACCCCATAGGAGACAGGGCTGGGATGGGAAACATAGACAGAGGTTCAAGGCTGGAATGGGGTAGCACAGAAGGATGGAAACCAACTGTCCCATCTAGAACTGTCAGAAAAATGTTCCTAGGTGAAGAGTCATCTGAACTAAGGCCTGAAGAAGAAGGAGTAGGAACTAGCACTGCAGACAGAGGGTCCAGCTTATGTAAGGATCAGACCCATTTGAGGAACACAAAGGCAGTCAGTGTGGCTTGGTCTCCTAGAAGCGGAAGGGCTGGATCGGCTGACAGGTGATAGGCATTGGGGACAAAGAACTGCAGCCAGGATATGCACTTACTCGATGCTCGTACTGTGGGACATGATGTTGAAAGCCAAGTCGCCGGTGATTGTTGAGTTATTGGTGGTCCAGATGAGGCTGTAGGTGCTGTGGAAGACCACCGTAACCTCAGTAGAGGACCATGGAACCTCATGAAAGGGGTCGGAGGGCAGCCTAGGCTGCCATTGCAGAGGGAAGCCAGCAATGTGAGCAGTGGTGGTGGGAAGGAAATGGGGCTTCACACTGTGGAAGGGGCAAGAGTTTGTGGGACCTTAGGAGCCTTGCTGTGGACAGGGGCCTGAGATACCAAGGTGGCTGAGGCTTGCAGCAAGAGCAAGTATGAGGTCTGTGGCTGGGAAGCCTGAGGGTTCTGCAGGGAAAGGAAGGCCCAATTATGTGGGGCCGGGGTCCCACAGGGATTACTTGTCCAGAGGGCTGTTGAAGCGGTAAATCTCCTCTTCACTGTATTCCCTGATGGTGTCCATGGTGGGCCCGCCGCCCACCACCTTCAGTACATAGCTGCCAGGAACAGAGGTGCACACCAATTGGTCTCAGTTTCCTGAGTCCTGCATCATATCTACAACCCCAACTTTACCCCTTACCCCCTTTCATCATTGGATATGCCTTTACCTGCCCTGAAAACTGCCAGACTCTCCAGTCACCAAATCTTGGATCAAGAAGAAGGGGTGGAAGTCTGTGGGGTTGGAGGGTGTTGAGGCCAGGAGGAGGAGAAATTAGCTTGGCTTGAGAAGTGGAGGATGGTGAGGGGAGAAAAGAGAGAGAGGACCAAGGGGAAGAGCAGAGAGTAGGTAGAAGGTAAGAGGGCAGGGAGGGCAAAGTGGTGGGGGCAGAGGACAGGGAACAATGCAGAGGAGGAGACTGGATACGCACTGTCACGGAAGAGAAAGCAGGGCATCTCAGGGTCTATGTGAACGCAGTCAAAATAGTGACTGTTCTGTATGCGGCTGTATTGCAGGGTGTAGGTGATGTCAAAGGCCAGGCGCTTTCCGGGTGGACAGCCTATAAGCACTGGCACCACCAAGTTCCCCTGAGTGGGAGGAGAAAAGCCTCGTTTGGGAAGTGGGAAAGGGAGGATGCCCCTTCTCCCACACACACCATCACTACTTGCTGGGCTCACCCTCACCTAGGAGAAATCCAATTAGTATTTTCCTTAAATCAATATTCGAACAACCTGCAGATACTTATATAGTTTTTTTTTTTTTTTATCAGATTGCTGGCAGCTTTATTTATCCTTATGTTTACAAGTAAGGTTTCCTTTTCTTTCTTTTTTTTTTTTAAAAATAAATCTTTATTGTTCATATTATTACAAATGTTCCTCATTCTCCCCCCCCCCCCATTGCTCCCCTCCACCAGGTTCCCACCCTACTCACTGCCCTTTCCCCACCCCCCATTGTCCTCATCCATAGGTGCACAGTTTATGTTCAGTCTCTTCCCACGCCCCCCTCTCCCCTTTTCCCCGAGAAACATCAGTCCACTCCCCTTCCATACCTCTGATTCTATTATATTCACCAGTTAATATTGTTCATCAGATTTTTTTTTAATTCCCTTGATTTTTAGATTCACTTGTTGATAGTTACGTATTTGTTGTTCATAGTTTTTACCTTTATTTACTTTCTCTTCCAAAGAACCCCCTTCAGCAATTCATATAATTCTGATTTGGTGGTGATGAACTCCTTTAGCTTTTTTTTTTATTAGTGAAGCTCTTTATCTGGCCTTCAATTCTGAGTGATAGCTTTGCTAGGTAGATTATTTTTGGCTGTAGGTTCTTGCTATTTGTCACCTTGAATATTTCTTGCCATTCCCATCTGGCCTGCATGGTTTCTGTTGAGAAATCAGCTGACAATCATATAGGTGCTCCTTTATAGGTAACTACCTGCTTTGCTCTTGCTGCTTTTAATATTCTCTCTCTGTCTTTTGCTCTTGGAATTTTAATTATGATGTGTCTTGGTGTGGTCTTCTTTGGATTCCTTTTGTTTGGAGTTCTGTGCGCTTCCTGAACTTGTAAGTCTAATTCTTTCACCAGGTGTGGGAAGTTTTCTGTCACTATTTCTTTCAGTATGTTTTCGATATCTTGCTCTCTCTCATCTTCTGGGACCCCCATAATTCTGATGTTGGTTCATTTGAAATTGTCCCAGAGGTTTCTTACATTATCTTCAACTTTCTGGATTCTCTTGTCTTCTTGCTTCTGCAGAGGAGTGTCTTCTGGCTCTTTATGTTCCAAATCTTTGACTTGATTCTTGCTATCTTCCCTTCTGTTTTTAGGATTCTGTAAAAATATATTTTATTTCAGATAATGTATTCTTTATTTCTTGTTGATCCCTTATTAGATCTTGTTGATCCCTTTTCATCTCCTTATAGGTCTTATCGACCTTTTCTAGGAAATTCTTGAAAAACCTTATAAGCGTGGTTTTGAACTTTATATCCAGTCTCTTCTTTTCCTCCATTTCTTTCGTTTGTGATCTATTTCCTTGTCTTAGCATTTTCACAGCTTCCCTGAGTTGGTAGGGTGGCTTGGTGTGTTAAGGTGTCCTATATAGTTCAGTGAGTCAACCTCCCAGTTACCTGAGGTGGACAGACTTGGTGTAGTCCTTTGTGGGATGTGTGTGCCGTTTTGTTGTTAAGCCTTGCTTGTTGTTGGTATCACTGGGAAGTGTTGATCTCCAAGCCAATTGGCTATGAGGATCAGAAGTGTCTCAGCTAGGAAGGGTTTCTATATTCTGCTTGGATGGGCGGAGTCTCGGGGTGGCACAGCCAAGCTTTGTTGAGTCCCGCACAATTGGTTGCAGGTGCGCGCACCTCTTTGGTATAGGCGCAGACAAGCTTTAGATTCCTGTCTGTCCCTCCCTAGAAGAGTCCTATTGGCAGCGAACTAGGAAGCTAGCCACTGGAAGGGCCTCTGTGCTCCACTTGGATGAGGCGGAGTCTCGGATGGTGCAGACAAGCTTTATTCAGCCCCTCCCTACAAGGATCTGATTTCTGAGTACCACAGTAATGGCTGCTGGCTTCACACACCTCCGAGAGATCCCAGCCCACTGCCCGACAGTCTGGCCTCTCCCTATCTGGGGCCATCTATCAGCGCAATAGGGTGGTTCTGTTTTCCTCCCGAACAAGAAAGCCAGCCGGGCATTAGCTGTCCGCCCTCTCTGCGTGCAGGGAGTAAGCCAGTAGCAAACTCCGCCTGTTCTCTCCGCGCTCCGCAAGCAAGCTGGCAGTGAACTCTGCAGCCGCTTTTTCGCACGCACAGTTTTCCGTACCTTCACAGTTCCTGGGGTTTAGCGCGCCTTCTCTCTCCTTCCCAGATAGTAGAGCTTCCCCTCAGTCAGCTGTCCGGTGCTTCAGGGTGATGTTTCCCCTGTTTTTCAGTTCTAAATTCAAACTTGTTGTGGTAGGCTGCATTTGGGCATCTGCCCTATGCCGCCATCTTGGTTCTTTCCTCCCTCATATAGCTTTTACTGTGTACAGAGCACTGGTGTTCTAAGCACTTTACATATTCAAATTTGATTCTCCAAACAACCTTGCAAGGTTGAGGGTAACATAAATTTTATTTATTTTTTAAACATATTTTGATTGATTTCAGAGAGGAAGGGAGAGGGAGAGAGATAGAAATATCAATGATGGAAGAGAACCATTGATCAGCTGCCTCCTTCATGCCCCACACTGGGAATCAAGCCCCCAACCTGGGCATGTGCCTTGCCTGGGAATTGAATTGTGGCCTCCTGATTCATAGGTCAATGTTCAACCACTGAGTCATGCCAGCTGGGCTATAGTACATTTTAGAGATGGCAAAAGTGAAGCACCGAAAAGTCAAGCAACTTATTAACTATCCAGGGCCACATAGCTGTTAAGTGATAGAGCTGGAACCCAAACTGGGCCATGAAGCTTTCACCTGCCTCCAGGAAAACACATATAAAACAATAAAGCCTATACCTGTGGAGCAGCTAACACCTAGTCAGACTTTATAGGGTTGAAGTTGGTCCTGAATTCTCAAACAATTGACTTGGTGGAGCATGGGATATGAGGAAAGTGCAGCCAGGTGGGACAGGGGTAAGAAAATCCCTGTGACATTGTCTTCAGAATGAATGACCCCTGGCCCATTTCAGGGGTAAGTCCCAAGGATTTCACCCAATTGTCAAAGGGGCATGGGCATCCAGAAACTGTGCTCTGCACTTGACAGTGACTGTGGAAAGGAGTTAGCAGTCATAGTTTAAGCACTTCTCATGCTGGACTTGGGCCAAAGACTCCATCTATCAGCCATTCACTCACTGGGAGTCTAATGGGCATCTTCAATTCAATATATCCACAACCCATCTCAACTAATGGTACTTCATCCCTCCATGTGCAGGCTAAAAGCCTTGGTCTCATCCTGGAAACCTTTCTCTCTCTCACCCCCATATCAAGTCCATTCAGATAGCCTATGTCCCTTGACTTCAAAATAGAACCATTCTCTCTCCCCACTTTCAGCTCATTTGCCCCACACTGGCTTGTCTAACTTTGTTCCCTCTCTGGTCTCACCCCTTCACCCCCCAACACTGCCCATATGTCTTCCACATACAGTCAGAAGGACCCTGTGAACACTTGAGTCACTCCTCTACTTAGAGCCCTCCCCATTAGATGTCACATGATCTGCCCCATCAACACTTTGACCTCATTTCTTACCACTTTCCTCTTTGCTCCCTCTGATCCAATCACACTTGTCCCTCCATGTTCCTTTAGTCTAACACATGAAACATATTCTCACTTTCAGGCCTTTTTACCATCCATTCCCTCTCACTGACATGCCTTTCTGGCATATAAAATGACTCACTTCCTCCCCTCCTTCAAGTTTTTGCTCAAATGTTTCCTCCTTGGCCAGGTCTTCCTTGAGCCATCCTATAGCAAATGCTGACCTACCCCATGCATCTTACCTGCCTTTTCCCTCCTAGCACGCATCACCTCTTAACACACAATATCTTTATAAAAAATAATTCTTGCCTTAACTAGTTTAGCTCAGTGGATAAAGTGTCAGCCTATGGACTAAAGGGTCCTAGGTTCGATTCTAGCCAACGGCATATGCCCAGGTTGTGGGCACGGTCCTCCTAGTGCAAGAGACAGCCAATCAATGATACTCTCTCACCACTGATGTTTCTATCTCTCTATTTCCTTTCTTCTCTGAAATCAATAGAAAATATATTTTTTAAAGTAGTAATTATTTATTGTTAAAAGTATTACATATGTCCCTCTTTTCCCCTTTTGTCCCCTCCAGCCCATCCCTGCCCTCTGCCCCAGGCCTTCATGTCTGTGTTCATAGGCCATGTGTATATGCATACAAGGTCTTGGATTGATTACCTTCCACCCATCCTCCCCACTTTCCCTATGAAATTCCACACTCTGTTCCATGTTTCCATGTCTCTGGGTCCAATCCACTCATCATTTTGTTACTTAAATTCCATATATGAGTGAGGTCATGTGATACTTATATTTCTCTCATTGAGTTATTTCACTTAGCATGATACCCTCCAGGTCCCTCCATACTATCTCAAAGGGTAAGAGATTCTCCTTTTTTACTGCTGAATAATATTCCATGGTATAAATGTACCACAGCTATTTTATCCACTCCTCTACTGATGGGCACTTGGACTGTTTCCAGATCTTAGTTATTGTAAATTGTGTCGCTATGAACATAGAGCTGCAAATATTCTTTCTGATTGGTGTTTTGGGTTTCTAAGGATATATTCCTAGAAGTGGAATTCCATATTAAATTTTTTTGAGGGAACTCCATACTGTTTTCCATAATGGATGCACCAGTCTGCATTCTCACCAGCAGTATACTAGGGTCCCTTTTCTCCACATCCTCACCAGCACTTGTCATTTGTTGATTTGTTGATGGTAGCCAACCTGACAGGTGTGAGATGGTACCTCATTGTTGTTTTGATTTGCATCTCTCTGATGATCAGTGACTGAGCATTTTTTCAAATGTTTCTTTGGAGAAGTGTCTAGTTAGGTCCTTTGCCCATATTTTAATCAGATTGTCTGTCTTCCTTTTGTTAA